TAAGACTGTCCAGTATAGTTTGCCAATTGATTGTCCTATTGACTGGGTGGTCCCCATATCTATATCCTGATCACCAAAATCTCATCCTTGTTACCACAGTAGGAACTTGTGGGATTTGGGGGCTGATCAAGGAAAAAGATAGGACCACAAGAGGCATGCAACAAGCTTTATTGGGTTGACAAAGATTCTCTCCTCCACCAAACTCTGCTCAGGTTCCCCGAAATCCTTTGCAACTAGGTCTCAACTTTTGGACTTCCGTGCTCTTCTTTGCATTGTCCAATTTTAGCGAGAATTCTGCTAAGTCAGCTTAGTCAGAATCCCCCATCTTCTATATCTGATCACTCTCAATATCTAATGAGGTTCCTCATCCTCCACCACCCTCCAGGTGATGTCTGATCACCCTGGCCTGCCTTCAGCAAGAATCCTGTTAGGTTGGTTTAGTCAGAATCCCCCTTCCCCATGATGTTTCCTCAGTAATTTTCTATCCACTGACCCCAACCTTGCTCCTTGGCTATAAGTTCTTATTTGCCCATGCTATATTTGGACTTGAACCTGGTTCTCTATTGCAGTCTCTTTTTCCCTATTGCAACAGTCCTGAATAAAATCTGTTTTACTGCTCTAACTATGGTCCACCACCGTTTTCTCTTTGACAGGGTGGCATTTGGACAGGGTTGCATGAGAGGGGAAGTCCCTCACAGCATGAGACCATCCAGAGGCTTATGGCACAGGGGCCACCATCCAGAAAGGGGGGAGGGCAAGGGAACCCCTGGGGGAGAGGGGAATCTGGGAGAAGGCTTACATGTCTAGTTGATGTCACTCAGCAGCATGGATCAGAGTCCCTGGGTCAGAGAGCTCTGACAGCTCATAGCAGCTTGGGGTCTTAGAACCACAAGGCTCTATGTTATCAATATTCAGCAGATGCTGGATGATGTTTCACAGGGCATGCAATGCAAGCAGGCCTTAAATGGCTAAAAAATACTTGTTTGGGCTATTTTAAAAATAATTGGATGTGTGAAATTCTGAGTTTGGCGCCAGCAGGCTTTTGAGTTAATGAGTCTCAGCCTGCAGTGAAGAAATAAACAACCTAGGGGCCAATACACAGAGCCCATCTGTGGTTTAATAACATAAAAGACCTCTACCTTACACTACATGCCAAAATACATTCCTGGGGGAGTAAAGATCGAAAGGTTTAAAAATAATAAAATTTGGAAGAAAATCAGGAAAATATTCTTATACTCTAGAGTTTGGGAAGACTTTTAAAAGAAAGCTAGGAAACCCAGAAACCATTTCTTAAAAAGTATAGACTTATTGGGCTATATAAAGTTGAATATTTTATATAGATATGATATCATAAAGTAAGTTAAAGGAGCAAAATTATGTTATCAATTCAATAGATGCATAAACATTTGATAACATTAATCAAAAATTGATAAAATGTCCTCATAATCAGATTTAAAAAGGGACTTTATTACCTTGATAAGGGCCACAACTTATAGCCAATAGCTTACCGAGGAACCTTGATAATCATTACTGACCAAGACAAGAATGCTTGATTTCTTTCTAATAACATAGTTTGAGAGGCCCTGAACAAACAAGAAAAAGAAATGAGTTACTATTAGAACAAGAAAAAAATATGCACAGAAAATTTTATTTATATTGAAATTCCAAAATAATGAACTAACAACTATTGGAGGTTTCCAGGTAACTGGACCCACATAAATAATTATCAATAGCCTTCCTCTACATGAGCAGCATTCAATAACACAATGAAAGGGAAAACTAAAAGCCTAATGAAAGCACTGAATGAATGGAAAGGAGATCTCATAGACCGGTATAGGCTTAGAGTTATAGGTAATATTGTGTCTCGTGTATAGCAACGTGAGGAAGGGTAAGTATAAACGCAATTTATGGGCATCCTGTTCTCTGGCTCCTGAGTGCCTGGATGGGAGGCCCTAGCCCTAACCCCGCTCCTCGTCTTAGTCACCTCAGTCCCGCCCCTAGACCCTTATCAACCTTAGCTCCCAAAAGAATTTGCAATCAAGTCCCCTCCCTTGACATGGTCCCACCCTAAGCCTCGCGCATCAGAATATTCAACTAAGCCCCCGCTCCAGCCCCATCCCTCAGGCCTAGTCCACCGAGCCCAGTCACTAGCCTGGTCAGCGTCCGCTCCGTCCAACCCCAATTCTTGCGCCAGGGATCCACTGCATGTTTCCGCGGGAGGAAACGAGCACTTCTCCTCCGCTGGTGGCTGGAAGCAGCCGCCGCCCCGCTCCCCTCCTCCTTACCTGATCCCTGTGTCCCAGTTCCCGAGGCCCCGCCCGCCACGCTGTGCGCGGCGCTGAAACCGGAAGCAAGTGCGCTTCTGCGCGTGCGCGAGGCGGCGGCCATGTCTCCCAGCTCCCGCGCTCGGGTCTGAGGTTAATTTTCGCCTCTGTCCGCTGCCAACGCGCCTCGGCTGGGCGGGCCCCAGGTCCGGTGCACGGGGGACGGAGAGCTCGGCCTCGGGGCTCGGCGGTCAAAGGGCGGCCGCCGCCGGAGCTTCCCGCCGCCGCGGCGTTTCCTCGGAGAGCCCCGGCCCGCTCGCTCCCCGAATCAGCAACTCGGGGCTGGATCCAGCAGTTGGGTGAGTCTGCTGCAGGCTCCAGTTGCAGAACCACCCGCGTAGTTAATCGGCCTCCAAATGCATCCTTTGCTCTCTTTCCAGAAAAGAAAAGCATCCTTGCCATTCGGGTCACGGGAAGAGAGCTCGACCTGGTTGTCTCCACGCTGCTCTGTGGATTTCGGCGTGTTCGGTGAGCGCGAGGTGACATTTGCCTCAACTCCGTCCTCTCCTCGCCCCTCCTGGTGCAGGAAATATTATTTAACCCTGCCTGTGGGCATCAGTTTGCTACATTGTATTCAGGTGCATAAAAGTGAACTGATTATTTAATATCTTTGTAACTCTCCTCCTTGTCGAATGCAGCTATAATTTTAATCACTTATCTGTAGATTTTCTTTGAATTTCACACCGAAAGTGTGATCATCTGCCAGGTTCAGCGTTTTCTTTTTTTATTTTTTGTACCCTGCATTTCTTTTTATTTCTTTGTTGCACTTGCCAGGAGCTCCAGTTCAATGTAGAATAGCATATAATTTGCATCCTTGCTTTGTTCCTAATCCTAGAGGGAATTATTCTACCATTTCACCATTAAATAGGATGTGTGCTCTAGGTATTTGTAGATGATATATATTTTTTCTTTTTTTTAATGTATTTTTTATTTATTATTTTTTGTGTGTCTGAGGAAGATCAGCCCTGAGCTAACATCCGTGCTAATCCTCCTCTTTTTGCTGAGGAAGACGGGCTCTGTGCTAACATCTATTGCCAATCCTCCTCCTTTTTTTCCCCCCCCAAAGCCCCAGTAGATAGTTGTATGTCATAGTTGCACATCCTTCTAGTTGCTGTATGTGGGACACGGCCTCAGCATGGCCGGAGAAGCGGTGCGTCAGTGCGCGCTTGGGATCCGAACCCGGGCTGCCAGTAGCGGAGCCCCGGCACTTAACCGCTAAGCCACAGGGCCGGCCCTATACTTTTTTGTAATTAAAGTCTATTCCCTTCTAGTCCTAGTGGATTAAATTATTATCACAATGGATATCGGTAGAGATGTCACTATTTTGTATCTAAGGGGATGAGTCATATGATCTTTTCCTGTTAATGTGGTGAATTATATTAATCTATGATTCCATTTTTGACTCCCGTTCATTCCTAGGAGGAAATGAACTTAGTTTGTGATTACTATCCTTGTTATTCATTTGACTGTACTAATATTTTGCACTTATGTGTATGAATGAGATTTTTCATATTTTCTTTGAGTTGTACTTTCCTGGTCCTGGAAACACTCAGGAAAACAATGCCCCCACTCTCCGTGGAATTATGAATCCCTTACATATTTAGTGAACTTGCCTGTAAAACAGTTTGTAACTTCTGCTTCTTTTGTCGGCATGTTTTAAACTACTGATTTTTCTCTCATGACTGGATGTAATCAGGTTTTGTATTTATTTTAGATCATTGCAGGAAAGTTGTACTTCTCTCTAGAAATTCATTTATTGTGCATCTTCATAACTATTCTCTTAATTTTTTTGTTATATCCTCCCTGTAACATCTGTAATTATGACTCTTTCTTATTCATAACTCTTTTTGTCTATGCTCTGTTGTTCTTAAAGAAAATTGCTTAGAATTTGTCAATTTCAGTAGTTTTCGAAGGACACATTGTTAATTATTCTGATTCTGTTTATTAATTTTTTTAAATATCATTAATTTTGTCCTATTTTCATTTTTCTAAACTGTATCTATTCTTTTTCCAACCTTTAAGTCAATGGTTAGCCTATTGATACTGATTTTTTCTTCTCTGGGAGTTGATGGTATTTATAAATATATAAATGTATATACCACACCAGCTGTGGATTTCCAGTGTTATCTGAAGCAGTTCTTTTAATTTTCTGCTTCTACCCCGCCACATAACTAGTCCTGACTTGCTAAAGATAAATATATGTGTGCCTCCGTATCCCTGTAATATGCTGCATTTTTATATAGCGTATACCACTACCTGATATATTTTGTTTATTTACTGTGCTCCCTCAAAACAGTATATCATCCACATGCTTGAATACTTCATTTGTTTACTCTCTATGGTGCCGGACAGAGTTCTAGGCCAGACTATGGTAATGTTAGGGAATAAGGGCCTCATTAACAACTAAATTGTAAGGTTTATATTCAGAAATATTCTCACTGGGCTTTTAGGCTTTGAAGACAAATAGACTTGCATTCACACATCTGTATATGTAATACATCCTGTGTTACATACATCTCAGCAGCCTTCTAATTGGGAGCGTGTGGTTAATTGGCTCTTTCTAAGATTTCTCAATTATAAACTGGTTATAATGATATCTGATTTGCAGAATTTCTAGCAAATAAATAATCTCTTTGCAAAAGTCTGGACCTCTCTTTGCAAAGTCGTTCTTACATCATGGTTGCTCAAGTGGCACATGTTGTTATTAATATAGTAAAGAATGTTACAATTTTTATTGGCTTTAAAATACACTACTTGATCCACAGCAGTGGAAGAAACTGTTGCATTATCCTAATTTGAAATTTGTGCAACAACAGGCAGCTGTCACTCTCAGAGATGACACACTTGCTAACTTCATTTCAAGTATTCTTGTTCTGCTGCTGCTGTACTGTACAGGCAAAATTTAACATAAGAATTACAGCATGGCAGTTATCTCTGCCTCCTGCATTTGGAATTCAGTCAGTTGATGCTCTTTCTCAAAAACCAGGTTCAAGGACCCTGCAGCCCACAGAGGGGAGGGTCCAGTGGTCAGTGGCTGAGCAGTAATGCCTGTTAGCCTGACAAGGGGTGCACAAGTAAGAAATATTGGGAGTGGAGCCCCCACAAGGCCGATGTATACGTCAGTGCTTTCTTGGGTTTGAGACACAATTTATACTCTTACGGTAGAAAGCGCTGTTTGATACTTTTTATGCTTTTCCTTATCGTAGGCAAATTGACAGCTAGACTTTTTTAGACTTCAGTTAACTTATTTACAAATTTTTAATGATCAGTAAGGACCAGAACACTGTTTTCTAGCTCTAGAGGAGATAAGATTGTTCCACCTTCCCACAAGATCAGTGTGTTTGCTTGCCTGTTTTTGGGTTATATGTGTGGGTGTCTGTGTGTGTGTTTTGAGGGGAGTGGTCACTCATAACAGATGTGCTGCAGCATCCAGGCTCATGAGTGTGGGAATTGTGGGGAGAAGTGGCTTCTCATGTCTTCTTTCTGCCTCAGCTCTAACTTCTCAATTCCCTGCCTTTCTTCATGAAGGGAACATGGAGGAAGAAAGAACAGCTGCTGAATTACAGAAAAATATGACACAGGTAGGTAAGAGCTAATAATTCTCCAAAAGAATATTTCCATTCTGCCTGGTTAACAATCTCCTAATTGTTTAGAGCAGGGTGAGCAGCCTATTTCTATATTGGGCCACAGAATAAGTAGGTTAGGCTTTGAAGACCAGAGCTTCTATTGTAACTCAACTCTGCCATTTTAGTGGGAATGCATAGACATAGACAGTATATAAGCAAATGTGTTATTGTGTTCCGGTAAAACTTTACTTACACAGGTAGGTGGTAGGCTGGATTTAGCCCATGTGCTGTAGTTTGCAGACCCCTGACCTGGAGTACAAGAAAATATGGCCAGCTGTGGGCCTGGGTTGAAAGTTGTGCTTCTGTAGGCTCCTGGGCCTCAGGTTTGTGGGAAAAAAACAGAAAGGCTCCCTGTCCCTCAGGGTGTTTGTATTCATTAAAACCTCATCCAGGTTTGACCCAGTGTTTCATTGTGTTGATTGATATGGTGGGAGAGAAGTAAGCAGGTGAAATTGTTTCTGTAACAAGGATTGCTGGTGTCAACATGGAAATTATTTCGTTTCTAGAGCATTTCTTTCATTTCTGCTGTATGCTCTGGACTGTTCTGGATCATTAGAAGACAGGAATTAGTCACCATACAACTGTGGAGAGATAAATTTAGTGTTTTAGAAGTATTGTTAAATCTGTAAGACAGGATTTGATCAGTCAGGAAGGATGTGTGGGTAGAAAGAGAAAGAGATCTGATGACTAAATCCTCGGGTAGATGTTGGGAGACCATAAAATTTTCAGAACTTCTATGAATTGATCCTCAGTTCCCCAGTGTTATCAGCCTCATCCATCCTCCTGCACATGCTGGGGGAGTTGGTCCCTGTCTGAAAAGAATATGTGGAATATTTTAGGACTCAGTGGTCTTTGAGGATGTGGCTGTGGACTTTACCCAGGAGGAGTGGGCTTTGCTGGATCTTGCTCAGAGGAACCTCTACAGAGATGTGATGCTGGAAAACTTCCAGAACCTGGCCTCACTAGGTGAGAATGACAACATTCCTTTATTTAGTTGTTTAGAACACAATTTTACTAATCGACCTTGTTTTAGGATTTGGGCTAAGGAATTGGAATATGTTGGTAAATAAGACAGACATGATCACTGACCCCTAGGAGCTTAAAGCCTAGTGGCTTCACCATGAAATAAACATCTGTGTATTGAACTCACTTTTCCTTTTCCTTGTGGTTAAAAGCCTCGAGGCTTATATTAAGTGTTGAAAGTGTGGGCATAGACTTCAGGGGTCACTTTGGGGCACAGGGAGGTTTGTAGTTTGGGATGTTTTGAGAATTTTACTGATATCAATGCCCTTTATTCAAAGATCACCAGGAACATACTATAGTTAAACAAGTGGAGTTTATTACTCAGTGCAGTGAGGGAGAACACATGCCATGGGGAGCCGTGGGGTGTCTCAGTAAGAGGGAGTAAGAAAATACGTATTATAGGATTTGTACTTTGGTTGGGTGATTTGGGTATGGGTCTATGGAAGCAGGCTATCTTAGTTTCCTAGGCTTTCCGTCACAAAGTACCACGAACTGGGTGGCTAAAAACAACAGAAACTTATTCTTTCACATTTCTGGAGGCTTGAAATACATAATCAAGGTGTCAGCAGGGCCATGCTCCTTCTGACGGCTCTATGGAAAAAATTTCTTCTTGTCTCTTCCTAGCTTCTGGTGTTGCCAGCAATCCTGGATGTTCCTTAGCTTGCAGCTACACCATTTTAATCTCTGCCTCCATTTTCACATGGCCACCTTTCCTCTGTCTCTAAGTCTCTCTCTCCTTATAAGGACACCAGTCATTGGATTTAAGGCCCATCCAGTATAATTTCATCTTAACTTGATTATATCTGCAAAGACCCTATTTCCAAATAAAGTAACATTTTGAGGTTCCAGGTGGACGTGAAATTTTTTTTTAATACACTTAATTTTTTTTAGAGCTGTTTTAGGTTCACAGCAAAATTGAGTGGCAGGTAACAGAGATTTCCCATATATCCCCTGCCCCCATACGCTCATAGCCTCTTCCACTATCAACATCCCCTACCAGAGTGGTACATTTGTTATAGTTGGTAAATCTGAATTGACACATCTTCATCACCCAGAGTCCATAGTTTGCATTAAGGTTCAGTCTTGGTGTCGTATCTTCTATGGTTTGAACAAATATGGAATGACATATATGCACCATTATAGTATTATATAGAGTAGTGTCACTGCCCTAGGAATCCTCTGTGACCTGCCAGTTCATCCCTCCTTCCCTCCTTACTGGTGGCAACCACTTATCTTTTTGCTGTCTCCATAGTTTTGCCTTTTCCAGAATGTCAGGTAGCTGGAATCATACAGTATGTAAACTTCAGATTGGCTTCTTTCACTTAGTAATATGCATTTAAGGTTCTTCCATGTCTTTTCATGGCTTGATAGCTCATTTCTTTTTAGCGCTGAATAATATTTCATTGTCTGGATGTACCACAGTTTATCCATTCACTCATTGAAGGACATCTTGATTCCATCCAAGTTTGGGCAATTATGAATAAAGCTGCTATAAACATGGATGTGCAGGTTTTTGTGTGGACGTTTTTAACTCCTTTGGGTAAATTCCAAGGAGTGCGATTGCCTGATTGTATGGTAAGATTAGTTTTGTAAGAAACTGCCAAATTGTCTTTCAAAATGGCTGTATCATTTTGCATTCTCACCATCAATAAATGTGAGTTCCGGTGTTTCTACATCTTGCCAGCATTTGGTGATGTCAGTATTCTGGATTTTGGCTGTTCTCACAGGTGTGTAGTGTATCTTATTGTTTTAATTTATATTTTCCTGATGATATATGATGTGGAGCATCTTTTCATACACTTATTTGCCATTTGTGTATCTTCTTTGGTGAAGAGTCTGTCCAAGTCTTTGGCCCATTTTTTAGTCAGGTTGTTTGTTTTCTTATTGTTGAGTTTTAAGAGTTCTTTGTATATTTTGGATAACAGTTCTTTATCAGATGTGTCTTTTGCAGATATTTTCTCCCAATCTGGGGCTTGTCTTTTCATTCTCTTGACAGTATCTTTCACAGAGCAAAAATTTTTAATTTTAGGGAAGTCCAGCTTATCAATTCTTTCTTTCATGGATTCTGCCTTTGGTCATCACCAAACCCTAGGTCACCTAGATTTTTTCCTATGTTATCTTTTAGAAGTTTCATAGTTTTGCGTTTTACTTTTGGGTCTGTGATCCGTTTTGAGTTAATTTTTGTGAAGAATGTAAGGTCAGTGTCTAGATTTATTTTTTTTGCATGTCGATGTCTAGTTCCAGTCTTTGTTGAAAAGACTATCTTTTCTCCATGTATTTCCTTTGTCAAAGATCAGTTGACTGTATTTATGTGGGTCTACTTCTGGACTCTCTATTTTGTTCCATTGGTCTATATGGACCTGAATTTTTGAGGGACACTGTTCAACCCAATCCACAGAAGGTCAGTTTAGATTGGATGCTGACAGAAAGTGGGAGAAATTCTATTATTGAGTATTCTGTGAGTGGCACAGTAACTTTATTTTTGCTTTTCCTTAGAGTGAATTATGAAGTGACCTTGTTTTGTATCATTTTATCATAGTCTCAGAGTAATTTTGTCTAAGAACTAGTATTCTGTGAGATTATTTATGTTCAACAGGAGAACAAAATGTCCTAGCTGTTAAGTATCAGACTTGCTTCTAATAATATTGAGGTTTAGATGTGAATGTCAGATCAGTTCTAGACATCAGAGGCTGTGTCCTTCCCATACACCTCCTTCTACTTAAAAAAAAAAAAAATTAGCATTTTGTTGCAATTAAATTCACATTTGCCCATCTTTAGAGGATCAGAAGACCAAAGTTTTGGCCCTGTCTCATGGAAATGTTTGTGGTTCCTTGCTTTTTCCCTCATGACATGCCTTTCTGCATTGACAGGGTATCCACTACACACACCCTGCTTGATTTCCCAGTGGAAACAAGAGGAGGACCTGGAGACAGCGAAGAGGGGGGGGGTACTCCAGGGGGAGTACCACGAAGGTAGGAATCCTTGGGAGAAACTCTCCTGGTTGGGGACTATTACATTTGGAAAAATAAAATAAAAGCAGAACAAAACTTTTTTTTCTCTGAGGAGGCCAATCTTCCACAGATACTTTAGACTACTATTTTGACTTTTTATCACTCCTCTCACACTTTCCTTGTCCTTGGGAAAGACCTTCCATATGTCCTCTTTGTTTGTAAGTTAGTATTTGGTCATGTGCATTTTATCCAAATCCTTTCTGTTTTGCTCGCCTGATAATATCCTGTTTACGTCACCATCAATCTCAATCACCATGGAATTAATTCTTCGTCAGTTGCTTACCATTTTGACCCTCGTGCTTATTACCAAAGTCCTGAAACAGCACACTGCCAAAAATCCTTTGCTCATAAATGTCTTTCCTTTTTTGCTTTAGGTTTTGAGACCCAACATAAAACTAATGAATCAGTCACTCCACAAGATATTTGTGGAGAAAAAACATCCAGTGAACAGAAAACAATAAGATTCAAAAGGAATGATTCCTGGTCGTCCATTTTACACAATAAGTGGGAATACCATGGTATTGATTATCAGAACAAAAATCATGAGAGACATTTGAGGTGAGTGCCACTCATACAAGAGAAAGTAGTGCCTCAGGAGAGAATCTTAAAATGTCATGAAATTTAAAAAACGTGTATAAAACTGAGTCAGAAATTGTGATTCATTAAGAATTGTCACAAGATATTTTTTTCCACCCATGAGACTGATATCTTCAATGTTTGACACGTAATTCAGTTGTAAGCAATTATCAGAAAAATCCCATAAGTCAAAAACTCAGTAATAATATTGGCTGTTGTAGAGCCCTTGTGAGAACTTTCAGCTTATGACTTGACAGGGCATAAAACTTACATAGTCACTGAAAATGGTAAAAATGTATTACTAATAATGTGCTTTTTATTTTTAAAAGAAGTCATGTGGTGGAGAACATCTATGAATGTAATGAAGAGAATCAGTCTGGACAAAAAACCTTCAGCCAAATTCCAAATCTTAATATACCCAAGAGAACTACTGAAGTAAAATCCTATGAATGCCGTGAATGTAAAAAGGCCTTCACAGATCATTCATCCCTTAAGAATCACATCAAGTCTCACACTGGAAGCAAACCCTATCAGTGTAAGGAATGTGGGAAAGCTTTCCATTTTCTCGCTTGTTTTAAGAAACATGTGAAAACTCCCGCTGAAGAGAAACCCTATGAATGTAAAGAATGTACCAAAGCCTTCAATTGTTCTTCATTCTTTAGGGCACATATGAAGATTCACACCGGAAGGACAAACTATGAATGTAAAGAATGTGGGAAAACCTTTAGCTGTTCTTCATCCCTCACAGAACACAAAAGAATTCATAGTGGAGATAAGCCTTATGAATGTAAGGAATGTGGGAAGGCCTTTAGTTGTTCCTCCTCACTCTCCAAACACAAGAGAATTCATAGTGGAGATAAGCCATATGAATGTAAGGAATGTGGGAAGGCCTTTAGTTCTTCCTCTCATCTTATAATACATATAAGAATTCATACTGGAGAGAAGCCTTATGAATGTAAAGAGTGTGGGAAGGCCTTCAGTGAGTCCTCAAAACTCACTGTACATGTCCGAACACATACAGGAGAGAAACCCTATAAATGTAAGGAATGTGGGAAAGCCTACAATTGTCCCTCCTCCTTAAGTATCCATATGAGAAAACACACTGGAGAGAAACCCTACGAATGTCTGGAATGTGGAAAAGCCTTCTATCTTCCTACTTCCCTTAATACGCATGTGAAAAATCAAAGTAGAGAGAGACCCTATGAATGTAAGGAATGTGGAAAAGCCTTTAGTTGTCCCTCGTCCTTTAGAGCACACGTGAGAGATCACACTGGAAAGATACAATATGAATGTAAGGAATGTGGGAAGGCCTTTAGTCGTTCCTCATCCCTCACTGAACACTTAAGAACTCACAGTGGAGAGAAGCCTTATGAATGTAAAGAATGTGGGAAAGCCTTTATTAGTTCCTCCCACCTTACAGTACATATAAGAACTCACACTGGAGAGAAACCTTATGAATGTAAGAAATGTGGAAAAGCCTTTATTTATCCCTCAGCCCTTAGGATCCACATGAGAACGCACACTGGGGAGAAACCCTATGAATGTAAGGAATGTGGGAAAGCCTTTCGCCATTCTTCATACCTTACTGTACATGCAAGAATGCACACCGGAGAGAAACCCTTTGAATGTCTGGAATGTGGGAAAGCCTTCAGTTGTCCCTCATCTTTTCGAAGACATGTCAGAAGCCACACTGGAGAGAAACCATATGAATGTAAGGAATGTGGAAAGGCCTTTGTTTGTCCTGCCTACTTTCGAAGACATGTGAAAACTCACTCTAGAGAAAACACATAAGGAATATGGGAATGTCTGCAAGACTTTTTCAAATCTTAGGCAATATGTGAGATCTCACACTGTGGAGACACCCTACACCCTATGAATGTAAGAGAGTGGGAAATTGTCGCTCATGTTTTTGAAGACTTTTGAGAACTCACAACTGAGAGAAACCCTGTGTATGTAAACCATGTGGTAATGCCTTCATGAACATCACTTATTGTGTGTAAGAAAATTCATACTAGAAGCAAAGACCAGTGCCTCATCCTTAGATTGCTGGCTCATTGATTTTCAGTTTTTATTTTCTGATATGAATATTTAAGGTGATAAATTTCCCTCTAATACCTTTTCAGCCCCAGCCACATATATTTTATTATAGAGTGCCTTTATTTTGGTTCACATGTAAATGTTATTTCCATTACAAAGTCTTTTGGGCTCATGGGGGATTTGAAGTGTATTTTTTCATATGCAGGCAGGAGTGGTCCTTTTTAAAATTTAGGTTCTAATTAACTCCTATTGTGTGCAGTCATTATGATATAGCACTTTGGTATTTGTAATTTCTTTTGCAATTGGTAATTTCTTTTTGATCTAGTGTGGCAGATACTGGAAATTGCCTACCCAGTATTTTTTTCCCCTTTGTAGTAAGAACTTAAAGTTTTTGAGGTTATAATCTTTTGCTAATTAAAAGCTTATCCTATCTAATGAGTAATTTCAGCAGAAATTAATAAGTGCAAAAGTCTTGAAAGAAGAGTGTCATCCAATAAGCTGTTTTTGTATTATGTTCTTTGTCCTTGCTCATGGCTGGGAATTGGACCCAGTGTTTTGAGTTAAAAAAAAGACCTCAGGACAAGAAAGCTAGAAGTAAAGTTGGTTGGGCTGGCTTGTGTTGTGTTAATTTGGGCATGGCTGGGACTCCATTTCCCAGAATCACTTCCTTATCTAGTCCCAAGTTAGATAATTGGAAGGCAGAGGGAAGAAGCCGTTTTTGTTAGTTTAGTGGGGACAGGGAGACAGATGCATAGGGGGCCTGGTGGGCTCGAGTTTCCAGCTCATTTTCCTGATTATTGGACCCCATTGATCAATACTGGCTCAGAAGATTAAGTGCTTGACTTCACTTACCTCAGAGGCAGCAGCTCCATAGACATCTCCATAAATTACTCCATCATGGCCATACACAGCTTCTTGGATTTTCTGTCAAGTTCTAGCATTATTGTTTGGCTGGTATTACAGTCCCTCTGGCACATCAGCTGACTCTAGAGTTGGCCCCAGTTTAGAGCAGTATTCTTGGCATCTACATAGTACAATCCCATCATGTCACTTTGCTCATAGGGAAAGACATATCTATGCAAGCCCACTGTGAACTCAAAAAAGCAGGGAGAAGAGCTGTGGAGAGTGAGGAGAATTAGGTATAACTGAGGTAAGCATCAGACAGGGTGTCATCCCATTTTAGTGGAGCAAGATTTATATTTGACACTTTCAAACAGAAGATTTTACTGCTTTTTTACTCAATAAGATGAAAGCTATTTGGTTTGTGCTGCTTCAGGTACATCTAGCTATACTTTTTCCTTCCATTATGTTTTGCCTTTACCTCTAAAAATATACCTTACCACTTCCCCTTAATCACCTTTTACTGTTTGTTAAGGCATGCATACACTAATATGCATGAAGTGTGCTAATCTTGTGTGCAGCTTGGTGAAATTTGCCATATGTGTACACCCTGATAAGCATAGAACATTTCCAGGACTCCAGAAAGTTCATTCATCTGCCTTCTCAATAATTTCTCCATAGAGGCAACTACAATTTTGGCTTTTATTACAATTTATTAGGTTTGCTTGTTCACTATATTCATATAAATATTAAAATACAATAAGTACAGTTATGTATTTGGCTTCTTTTCTCAACATCATGTCTAGTTTGCCTTTTAGTGACTTTTGGCAGACTTACACACTTACTCTTAGTGTATGCTTTGTATATAGGAATGAGATTACTGAGCCATAGGGTAGACTTTATACTTAGTTTTGATAGGTATTCTGATTTTTCAGAAAGGTTGATTGGACCTATAATCCTAAAAGCAATACATGAAAGTCCCAATTGTTCCACACACCTGGCCAGCACTTTCTAATTCAGCAGAGGATGGGGTAATATCTTGTTTTTGGTTTTAATTTGCATTTTCCTGATACGTAATGATGGTGAATACGTCTCTATATGCTTGTTGGCTATTTGGGTATCTTCTTTAATGAGGGCACCTGTTGAAGCATTTCACCCATTTTTCATTCCTTTTTTATTTGAAGGATTTCCTTCTGGTTACTTGTCCTTTATTGTATGTATGTGTATCTCTCTATATATCTAGTTACATACACATACGCATATATAAACCATGTGTTATATATTATATATACATAAATTATAATATGTATATTATATATACATATATTGCAGATAACTTTTCCCAATCTCTAGCTTGTCTTTTCATTCTTTTTGTTTTTGTAAGCTATAAAGGGAATTTGTTGGTTTGATTTCTGAAAAGTTCTTGAGTATAACTAGCTTCAGGCATGGCTGGATCCTGAGGCTAAAAAGATGTTATCTGGATGAATTCTGTCTCTGTGTGTTGGTTGTGCATCTTCCTGCATTAGCTATTCTTCCTGGTAGGCTATCTCTCTTCATAGTGGGCCCCAGAAGATCCAGGCTGCTTTCTTTCCAGGTTGATGTCTCAGAGAGAAGAGTGATTGTCTTTTTGAACAATTCCAATATGATTGTTAGAATTGAATTTGATTGGCTCACTTGCCAACCATTATCCCATCACTGTGGCCAGAAGAATGTAATCCTCTGCTTTATTTAGGATTGGCGCCCATGCTCATCCAGAAACCAGAGTAGAGTCTACACCAATTGCATCATAGAGTTCTGACAATTATGATGTATGTGGAGAGGTGGGGAGGAGGCAGCAGTGGGTAAGGGAGATCTAGAAATAGAGGTAGTAATACTGTGAGCTAGCACATTGTGATCATTCTGGGCTTAACAATGGCAGGGAACTATGAATTCTGGGAACTCAGCCAGAGCTAAGGAGTTCTATAAATCCTTTCAGAAAAGTTAGATGTCCTCTGTTAGCATGTCTCTAGATTGTTACAGATGGCCTTTCAAGCTTCATGTTGCCTTGTAGTATTTTTGGAAATCTAGTTGTGAGAGTCTTCCAACTATTTCAGTCTTCAAGATTGTCTTGCCTTCTCTATTCCCTATTTGTTTCTATATTAATTTTAGAATCTCCTTATCAATTTTCACAAATACATCTACTGGGACTATGCTTGGAATCTCATTGACTTCATAAAATAACGAGTAAAATTTAACATCTTTACAATATTATCTTCCAAATGATGAATGTAATATAATTGTCCATTTAACTAGGTCATCTTTAATTTCTCTTAACAATGTGTTGTTGTTTTAATTGTAGAGGTCTTGAATTTAATTTTTTTGTTTAATTTATTTCTATGTATGTGGTATGTTTTGCTTTATAAATATTTTGTTTCCTTTTTCGATTCTTTGGGCTAGCACATAGAATTGCAATTTCTTTTTGTACATTGATCTTTTATCCAGTGACATTTATAAATCCAATTATTTATTCAAATAGTTTATGGATAATTTTGGACTTTCTATGTATACAATCCTGTCAATACCAATAAAAAAAAGTCTTACTTGATTTCTGAACTTTATCTTTTGTTTTTCTTGCCTCATTGCTTTACGTTGATGAATAGAAATGTTGAAAATGAACATTTTTGCCTTCTTCCTATCTTATGGGAAAATGTTCCATATTTCACCATTAAGTGTAATAATAGCTGTAAGTTTTTTATAGATAACCTTTACCAAATGAAGGGAATTCCGTTCTATTCCCAGATTGGCAAGATTTTTTTAAATCAGGAATAGATATTGAATTCTATCCAGTGCCTTTTCTGCATGTATAAGGTTCTTTAAAAAATCCCTTAGTCTGTTAATATGGTGACTTACTACATTCCTTGATTTTTAAATGGCAAAACAACATGTATTCCTGGAATATACCACACTTGGACATGGTATGTATTAGCGTATTAGCCTTTTAGTTTGGTAGATTCAGTATGCTACTTTAATAAAGTTATTTCTGTGTCTGTCTTAGTGAGAGGTTTGTCTTGTAATTTTTTTTAACTTAATATACTTGTCTATATTTTGTATCAGGTTTGTGCTGCCTCATAAAGGGAGTTGGAAACTCTTGTGAAAGACTGTATAAAGTTTGAACTATCTATTCCTTATATGTTTGGAATAATTCACCAGTGAATCTGTCTTTGGGTTTTCTTCACAGGATGCTTTTGTAAGATAGTTTCACTGGTGGATTTGACCAAACATGTAAATAGACAAAAGACTATTGAGATTTTCTATTTGTTCTTCTGTTAGTTTTGCTAAATTGTATCTGTCCATTCCATAACTTTTCAAATTTGTTGGCATGAAGCTGTTCATAGTATCCTCTAATTTATTTTTAATATCTGAAAGTTGTAATTATATCCCCTTTTCCATTCCTGATATTGGTAATTTATGTGTTCTCTTTTTCTTCATCTTGGTAGGAATTTAGATACATTAATTTTTTTGAAGAACCAACTTTCAGTGTATTTTATTCTGCTTCTTAATTCTTTAATTTCCAGTCTTACCCCCTTCTATTATATTTAGGTTTAATATTCTTTTATTTTTCTAGCTGTCTGAGATAGACGCTTATCTTACTGCCTGTCTTCTGCTATGTCTAGTCTGTTTATAACCCATCCAATCAGAACTTTCTGCTTTTAACATTTTCAGTAGCAATGCATTTGAGATATATGCAGAAAAGCACCTTTTATGTACCTGTTATCTTCAGGTCACAGGGTTTCCTTGGTGGAATGGAAAGAAAACAGACACCAGATTTCTAGTCTTTATTTTTCAACTCGTTGCCTCTGTGACCTTAGAAAAGTCATTTAAGCTTTCTGGTCCTTTGTTTGGGGTGTGTGTGTGTGTGTGTGTGTGTGTGTGTTTAAATTTTATTATGAAATAATAATAGATTCACAGTAGGCTGTGGAAAAACATGTACAAGAAAGTCACGTGTATCCATCACCCAGTTTCCCCCAGTGGAAATCCACAGAGCTTATTCAGATTTCACCAATTTTAAATGTGTATGTGTGTTTTTCTTTGCAGTTTTAGCATGTGTAGATTAATGGAACCACTACTGCAATCAAGATACAGAACTGTTCCATCACCAGAAAAGAATTCTCTTAGGCTACTTCTTTGTATTCACATCAAACCTCTCATCACTAGCCCCAACAACCACTAATCTGTTCTCTATCCTCTATAATTATTATTTCAAGAATGTTATATAAGTAGAATCATACAGTTTGTAACCTGAGATAGATTTTTTTTTCACTCAGCGTAATTCTTTTGAGATCCATCCAAATTATTGTGTGTAGCTGTGTTCTTTGTTATTGCCAAGATGTTAGCAATAGGTGTTTT